AACAAAACAGCTAAACACTTCAACAGTAGGGTGAGATACAAGAGGTTCAAAGTTGGAGATCTCGTGTTAAGAAGTGCCAAAGCAGCAGGACATGCCCCGAGCAAGTAAAGACCTGTTTGGGAAGGACCCTTTGAAGTCATACGACAAGTCCACAAATGAGCATACAGCCTAAGAGACGCCTCAGGAAGACCACTCTCCAGGCTGTGGAATGCTGATAATTTGAAGATTTATTACAAGTAGTTTATTTTAATTTTATTTATTAGATTTTCTTTTTTCTCTTTTCTTTGGTCTGTCGGACTTGTACACTTTGCGTCTTTTTACCTTTCAGTTGGTTGGGCCTGCGTGCCCATGTTTAGTTTTTTGGTAAGGTGAGTTTGTTTTGATTAGTTAGAGTCGGGATTCTATCCCAATAAAATATTTTTTATCAAATGATTTTACAGCCTTGCCTTGTGCGAGCACCTCCAAAGCCTTGCTCCGTGTGAGCACCTCCAAGCCTTGCCCGAGCAAGCACTTCCAAGCTTTTCCTCGTACAAGTACTTCAAAGCCTTATCCCATGCTAGCACACCCCCTGCGAGCACCTCCAAAGCCTTACCCCTTGCAAGCACATCCAACCCCTTGCCCTGTGCAAGAACGTCCAAAGCCTTGCCCTGTGCCAACACCTTAAAGCCTTTCCCAACACCTCAAAACCTTGTCCTATGCCCCACCTTCAAAGCTTTGCTTCGTGTAAGCATCTCCAAGCATTGCCCCGAGAAAATACCTTAAAGCCTTATCCCGTGCAAGCATCTCCAACCCTTGTCCCGTGCAACCACTTCAAAGCCCCACCCCGTGCAAGCACCTCAAAATAGTTTTATTGATAAATCAATCCTAAGAATGCTCGAGCTTTATGATCCTCGAGCAATCCCTCTCTTGATTGATAAATCAATCCAAAGAATGCTCGACCTTCATGCTCCTCAAGAAAATCCCTAGCTTGATTGATAAATCATGATTGATAGACTACTCGAGCTTTATGTCCTAAAGTGCTTGAGCTTTATGTCTCTCGAGTTTGTAACTTGATTGTTAAAATTTTGAAATCCCTCGAACTTTGCAAGATCTTCGAGGTTATAATAAAGTTTTTCTAAAGACTACTTGATCTTTTAGTTCTAAACTGGTCAAGTTTGTTGCATGGTTAGTCCAATTTTAAATAGCTCGATCTCCTTAATTTAAAGATCCTTGAGTTTTAATGATCGAGCTCAATCAAGATGCACATATAAATGAATGGTCGAGCAATTAACATAGCATCAATACAAAAATAAATGATCGATCAATTAACATAATGTTCGAGCAATTAAAAAAAATTATGTTTTTAGCCCAGATCGGGCAACATACATGGCATTATAAAATCAATGTTATCCTAATCTAAGTCCTCAGCCTCTGGATCATTGGTCGGGCTTAGGTGGTCACCTTTAGCATCCTTGTCTTCAATGTCGACCTCTTGATCGTCCGTCCCGTCCTCAGACTCCAAGAGCTCGAGGTCTTCAGCGATTTCAGGAATACTCTTCTGGTCCTTGCCCGAGCCTCCTTCAAAGCGTGAAAGTATGACCTTATAGCATACTTATCTTTCAACCTATTGAAGTCCTCGGACATCTTAAACTCGTCGATAGCAAGGTCCCGGGATTCTCTTAGCTACCTCAAAATATTTTAAGCACGCTCGAGCTGGAGCTTCAATATTTCAGCCTTGTCCCTGGCAACCCTGACCTCATCTCGAGCTTTACGAATCTCTTTCATGGCCTCATGTTGTTCCTTTACGATGAGAACACGCTCAACCTCTAGATCAGAGATCTTCTTATCCTGAGCCTTTACATCCTCCACAAGGCCGGCCTCTTGTAGGACTCGTCCATCCCGTTCAGAGAAAGTCACCGAGCAATGCTCAATGTTTGAAAAAAAAAAGATGAACATGAGCTCATACATTGGGATAAAAACATTGAAAAGTAATAAACAAAAAGGCACGAGCTCACTTTTATCATCAAGTTCTCGGGCACCTTCATACCCTCGTCGGATCCAATGTTCCCTCGATACTTTTCAATTATACTCGGCACCAAGTGGCATACTTCATGGTTCTCGAAATGATCGGATCTTGGTGGAATGGCCTCATCCTTCAGGTCCACAATTTTAGGGGTAGTTTGAGGGTTGAGGAGTTCCTCGAAGGGTACCTTGAGGGGTCGTTCAATGAGGTATCGACTCCCTATGCTCGGCGACGTAACCTTCATCCTCGATGATTCGCTAGGCCCACTCCCTAGATGGACATACCCCACATCTCGAGTCTCTTTTTGCCTTTTTTCTGACCTGGTCTCGAGCTTGTGGGGCTTTATTTTTCTTGACCACAGCCTGACGAAGAGCAGATGGATTGAACGTCCTTCCTGCACAATTCACCAAGTCTTTAGCACGAGCACAATACCAGAAGTATACAAATTAACTAATAACAAAAGACAAGTCCTACCCTCGACGTCTTTTAGATCCGCAAGATTGAGGATGTCATCCCCGAAGATGTCATCTATATCATAGACATGAGGCTCGAGATTCTTGAACATCTGCCTATCCTTCTCTAAAGACTCGAAATAAGCCCAACCTTCAGAAAATCTCGATGTATCTAGAAACCCCCACTGAGGACTAAAGGGAAGATCGGGATCTTGAGGTATGACGTAGAACGACTTTTCTTTCCACACTTTCAACGAGCTAGGAATCTTCGGTATCTTATACCCTTCCCGGGATGAAAGATAGACAAAGCATGTATACTGAGGAAGTTGTTTCAAATCAAGGACCATCCTACAGAGGTCGAGGTAGGACGTGATGCCTATATACCTACAGGCTATCAAAAATAAGTGTGTACCCTCCACCTATTCGACACTAGTTGCCCCGAGCTCATGCTATGCTCGACCAGCAGAGCTACAAAGAACGGATGCAGGGGCCACCTAAATCCCCCTTCAAAGAATATCTAAAAATGACAAACTCTCCTTCCCGAGTTATAACCATTCTATCTCCATGCTCATGCATTCTAATATCACAGCCCGGTATTATTCCATACTCCCTAGCCGTCGATACCGCTCGGTGTTATTTAAATCTATAGGGTTGGCCGGGATATTTGAAGGGGATCGAGTTTTCCTGAGCTTGAGGCTGGGCATTAATAGGAACTGCCATGGGAATGATCAAGCATCCTAAGTCCTCATGAGTGGTTCCTGACCCTGAGGACGATCGGTCACTATCACTACTCAACATCTTATCCTAAGTTAATTTTTTTTCTAAAGAAGCAACGTAGGTGCCGTTCTCTTCGTGTTTTAGTTTTGTGTTTTGAATTCATTTTGTGTTTTCTGTTTTGAGGGTCTATTTTGGAATTGCTGAAAACTCATTCTCTTTATTATTCTGAAAAACTGTTTCTTAAAATAGAAAATTTGAAAACGCATTTACTTTGAAATTTTGAGAATCTTTTTTTATAATATTTTATTCAATAAATCTGATTATTCAATATGTATAAATAGTTTAATGTATATATAGAGTTAAATAACATATAAATTTTGAAATTGATGAATCATGAAATATTTTTTTTACTAA